ATTTTATGCCCACAATTTTATTTATTGAATTGTCTATTTTTGTTAATTTTTGTTTAAAAAAAGGGAAAAAATGTTATTTTTGTGTTGATAAGTCTGAGTGGTCTGTTGACTGACCATTTGTTCAAATAATTGTTATGGGCAGGTTACAATTTAAAAAATTGTTTGTCATAATCATGTCTTGTGATTATTTGACAGGAGTTTTACATTTAAGTGTACTTAAAATACACTTACTTGTAAGTGTATTTAATTTAGTTATAATGTAAATACAATAAATATTAAACCAAGCTTTAGAATAATTATTATTTTGATCAGTACATTGGTAATGTCTGACTGGGCCTCGTGCCACTTTATGTTCCATAAATTGGGTCCCGAGGTCAAAAAGGTTAAGAACCCCTGGACTAGAGCGTGCCCACCTGGTGATTGAAGACCTGTGCTTGTGCACGGACTGCTTCCAAGGACAGCTAGCATGCCAAGTTAGCCTCTCCAGCAGGGACCCTTATTTGTCATCAACCGTTCTGCCACCTGGCAATGACAGTGAGCAGGAAGAAAGCTGGACAGCTGCAGCTACATACTGTACATCTCCCTCACCTCCTGACAATGTTCTAGAGCTGGACTATGAGGAAGCAGACAAGGTAATCTTGGAGCTCCTCTTGTCTGAGGATGAGGACGATGATATGATCATAATCACAAGTGCACAGGCRGCAAAGCCTGCCACTTTGTTGGTCTCTCAGGTTGAGGAGAAGAGAGTGACAGCCTTTTGTGTGCATGGACATACAGACCATGTGCAAATGTGCTGCTTCCTGACTGAACATTCCCTGACCTGATGCAGTAACGACCACCAGCTATTGTTACAAAGGGTAAAAGTTGCAACAGGCTAAGCTGTGCAATGATGTGGCCACAAAGCCTGACCCTGACGTGTGAGAGGAAATCACAGTGGCCAGGAACTATCTCTAATGGAGAAAAGTAGTATAATATGGTTGTCAGAACTGACTGTAAATAAGAAAATTATAGCTCTGAGGTGGAAGCCTCCTAATGACACATTTTTTTGTTCACCACTGCGACTATACGTATATGGACATTGCATACATGAACTCTCATTAGTAAGGGTCAATGGTGCAGCTTCAAATACTATTTCTTCTTGGGTAGACTTAACAAAGAAACTCAGAATAATACTTTCTGAATAGGATCACAAACACTCTAAACTGTTGGGTTGGTGGTTATGGGGGTATGTTATTGTTGTTAAAATGTTAAAATATTAATCAAAAGTTAATGATAAAAGTAGATTTCCTTTGTAAGAGGGACATATTTGTCCAGGGTTTACTTTGAATTAAATATCAAGCAAATGTAACATATTTCTTGTTTGTCCTGACTGCAGGATAAAGCACGAGAATGTGGTGGGTCTGGAGGATTTCTATGAGAGCCGAACACATTACTACCTCGTCATGCAACTGTAAGTTGGCACATTGCTTACATTATTAAATGCACCTTAGAAAAGAATCAAAGAACAGTTATCATGTAGTGTCTGACAAACATTTGTTGTGACCTTTACAGATGAGGTCCAGAAAAGTTGCAGTGACACAGTATTCTTAAAATTCTGAACAAAATAGACATTAATCCATAGCTAATTGTTATAACAGTAAGCTGTGAAAAACACACCGTGGATGTTTTTCATTAATAGAGCAGGTTGGCAGCTTTGAAATCCATCTATCTTTATTGTTGTGGAAATATTTATGAAAAGGCAGAAACACGTGAATAAAAAGAAGATGCACTTTGTGAATGGTCGTCGAATGATTTAATAAAGTTTGCAATTGCAAAGATGAGCCGCAGCGTGGCCAGGTCTGAATCAGAGAGTCTGGACACACGGCAACTGAACAGCAGAGATACAGGAGAGTTTTAACCTACAGGCAGAGCACATGAACATCCAGTGAGGAAACGACAGGTCTCACAGTAGCTTAACTGAACAAGGACATGTTAAGAGACGATGGCGCCTCCAAAATCAGAACAGATAATAAGAAATCATGGCAGTTATCAAAAAGATACAAATAGAAAGGTCAAGACAGTATGAACTTAATAATCAGTCAGAGAGGTATAATTATTTTCTAGCACATTTATCATTCATCTGTATCTTTTTCCTTTTCGGGTCAGTAGAAGCATTGCAGTCATTTTCTATTTTAAAACATTTCAAAAATAAACACATCTGACACAATCTGATACATATTTAATGTTCTGTGTATCCCAAACATTTTTACAAGACAAAAAATTGGAAGATATATTATCGTTCTACAAGTAATACTATGGTGTGAGACTAATTTCAGATTTTTTTTCCTGATTGTGTTTTTTTGTAATTTATATTACTTCAGTTAGTTAGGTTTTATTTGTCCATTAGGTCAATGCTTACACACACACTGACTAAAAGGTCAATCACCCAGACAGTGATGGAAATTAAATAAACTGCATGTGTTGAAAAGTCATGTGACTGCATTACAGTGATTACAATATGAGATCAGATGGATAACAAAT